TGCCCGTCATCCTGCCGGCTCTGGCCCAGCGCCTCTGCCCGCCGCAGGGCTTTGAGCCCAGCGAGGAGCTGCGCCTCGGCCTCGTCCAACTCCTGAGCCTCCTGCTGCAGCGCTGCGGGGCCTCCGTGGCCCCCTACCTCACCGACGTTATCCGCATCGTCCAGGCCACCCTCCTCGACCCCTATGCCGAGGTCAGGCGTGAAAGTTGCAGGTGCGCCGTGGCCTGCGCCCAGGCCATGCCAGGTGGGGCCTGGGGATGGGCAAAAGCGAGGGAGCAGTGGGCTCATGTGAGCCTGCGGTTTCCCGGGGGGACAGGGGCTGAGGTAGGGACCCGTAGGAGGTTACAGGGATGCAACCAGGAGAGAGGAAGAGAGCTGATACGTTGCACACACCCTCACAGGTGTACTTTGCAGGCCTTGGAGGATCTGTTGGAGAAGAACCACGCTGAGCAGTTACAGCATGTGGGTAATAGTGGGAGGAGGGAGCTAGGGGAGTGCATGTGGGCTAGTGTTCAGCTCTAATATAGTATAAAGTTAAATCGCACACTACAGAAATGTAGCGACACTAATCAGGCTGCCGTTCATAGTGTTACAGAAATTATGTTGCTTACAATCTGAGAAACGCATATTTGAAGTTTCTGTCTCTCTGCCCTAACAGAGCACTTCCATATGCAGTCAGAATCTCTGATAAAACCCTTAATGCAAACAATTTCACACCAGCACTACAGAGTTCGTGTTGATGTAATTCAGGCTACTGGAGCCGTGATACAGTTTGGAAATGGAAAGTCTGTGGATGATGTTCTGTCTCATCTGGCCCAGAGATTTTTTGATGAGATTCCCAAGGTGTGTTTTTCTTGCTTTTTTTTTTCCTGGATTTATTTTAAATTGTTGGGAGGGGTGTTGGGTTTTTTCCCCTTCCTTCCCAGTTTTCAACTTTCATTCATTCAGTTGAGATACATAAATATGTCACATATAGGCTTTGTCAATTTTAAACTATCCAAAACCAAGGCTGGTGACCTATTTAGCTGCTATCTAATTCTGCAGGTTGTTGAAGTTTGTAGACACCTTTTTATTTTAATGGGTGCCTTCAATTCTGTCTTAAATTCTTCTGCAAATCTGCCTGGGACTTGGTTTTTCAGATACTTAACAGTTACGGTATGGTCCCTTCATAAGATGCAGTTGAGGCAGTAGTTTAATAACTTAAGTTTAACATAACTTAACTTTAACTTAAGTTTAATAACTTAATCATAACTAAAATACTTATTTTTTCAGTGGTTATATTCACATTATTTAACTTAGACTTCCTTTTATAGTGAACAGAGAAAATAATCTTCTGGAGATGTGCTTGGAAAGCTTCAAATTCCAGAGAAAAGTACATTTCTTGCATTCTCAGACAGATATTAACCAGGAAAATTTAGAGTGTTCTGAGTTAGATCTGTATCTTGTCTTCCTCTTGGAGATGTTTTTTGTGCAGCAAATAGTCTAAGATTAAGCCAGAGCAAGAACACAAGAGGGAGCATGATACCTTGCTTGTTGCTTAAGGTGCTTGCTGCAAGTGAGGAAATCCTCACTGTCATTTCTTGTAATTTCTTCTGAGACTATTAATGTACTTTACCAAGTGTTATATACCAAAAGCAAATATGATATTTCAATTTTTCTGGTATTTCCCTGCCATATTTTCAATAGTCTTTTTACCCATGTAGGTTCGACATGCTGTAACAACTGTTATTGGAGAATGGCTGTTACACCTACGAGATAGATATTCATATTTTCACAAGTTGATCCCTTTGTTACTTGGCAGCTTTAGTGATGAAATTCCTGAAAATACGTAAGCAGAACACTTTTTAAATTTTTTTCCCTAAATAGTTGTCTTACATGTAAGTGTTCACAGATGTATTGACTGGAGCGGAAAAAAAACATTTTTTTTCCTTATACCCAAAACAATAGCATTATCTTCAGTGGATTTTGATATATTGTCCTTTTATGCTACATTCAAGTAAGTATAAGAGAGTTGAAGACAGAGAAGGAGACAGAGACAGAATTATTCTTTGGAAGAGGTGACCTCTGTTCTCTGAGTACAACATAAGCATAAACTCTCAACTTAGTGTGCCTAGGTTACATGGCAGGAA